AACCTGTTAGGGTATATTCGAAATGTTTGAACCTTAATCGTCGAAATTATTGTCGAAACAAAACTATTTCGCCATCACGTATGTTTGAACCCTAATCGTCGAAATTATTGTCGAAACAAAACTATTTCGCCATCATGTATGGCTTTTCCAAACATAATTGGTGACACTATATAATACATGCAAATTAACATGAATTGTTGTAGAAATGAACTGTCGACGAAGTGAACTGTCGACGAAATAATTTTCGACGAAACAAACTTTCGACAAAATGAACTTTCGACAAAATGAACTTTCGACGAAATGATTGTCGACGAAATGAATCAGACCCTTTTTTTTGTGTTATGCCTTCCTTTCAATTTACTCTCACACCAATTGTTTTTGTGGTTTTATGGAAATCTACCACAAAATCAACATTCGCTCTCCATTATAACAATTATGCTGCAGCAACCAGGTATGAACATACATACATAGAGTGACATTAATTTAAAACCGATGCTTTGAGATGTGACTCCGGTTCAATTAATGGTTTTTTGAAATATCTTATTGTTTGCATCAAAAAAGGGGTAGGTATTCATTCAAATGGTGAAAATAAAAAATTTAGTCTTTCAATCGGCAAAATTTTTTTGCAATAAATAAATTGTAGCAATTTCAAAATATAGAATCATCTATCTCTCTGGGGAATATATTTTGCTGTCTTCCATCTAATGTGAAGTTGAAGATATATGTGCCTTGCAACTCGAACAACAACACACTGGTTTGCAAAGTGGAGATTACTGTAGGCATTCTATAGTCATGCTTACTGTCCACGTAAATATAAAACTCTCTATTCTTTCGTTTCAGGCTGTCCAATTGTAATGTAGAAGAATTCCAAGAAATTAAAATTCAAATGGTTCAAAGTTCCATCGTAAATAGAAGCAAAGATGAATTGTTGTTTTTTTCAACATACTATATTAATACACATTCTAGACCTAGTACTAGGGATTTATTATGTATATACTAAAAATGGTAAGATAAAATCCATCATACTAAAACTGACAAACAAATTTATAAAAAAATCAATTTTTACATATATGATTGATTTTTGGGCCGAGATTGATGATGTATACCAACAAAATTAATGATTGCCTTTTTAAGCACCTAATCAAATAAGGATTTAGAAAGATAATCAACTGACATAAATTATTAGTAATATTTATAAAAAAATTTTCAAATAAACGTCATTTAAATCGACTATCCGCTATTATTTGCATGCTGAAGTAATTTTCAAATATTTGTAATTTCCAATAATCAAATTTGTTTCCCAAATTGTCCAAGAGCAGTTTCCCATCTTCAATGGTTATGCTGTTTTTTTTTATCTTTATGATTATTAATAATCATCCGTTTACTATTGTGGTAAACAATTTTGTAATGTAGAATGCATGATAAATTTCGTTCTCACGACTGGCTATTTTAAGTAATTGCCCAAGTAATAATAATAATATGGCCATGCAGAAATAAAACCTTTAAGGAACCAGCACTGGTAAAAATTGTATGTGCATCTTAATATTAACAAACGCCAAGTCAAATTCCCAGAGCAATTTTGAAAAAAGTCCAGTGAGAAATTTCGAAATCGAAATTAATATTAATATTAATATTAATATTGACATTAAATAATAGCAAGTACTTTTTTAACTTTAAATTATAACAGATAATTCTGCAACTCTAAATGTTTATCAAAAAATCCTGGAAGACCATCGAACGTTGTATCGAAACCATAAACAACTTTTTTTTTAACCAAATAATTCTTTCTGTCTTGTTCGAAAGCATCATTAATATTAATATTAAATTTCGATTTTCCGATTTTTGAAATCGAACATGTATTATTATTAGTATGACTATTATCTCAAAAGAGAAGAATAAAAAATAAAATTTTTTCAATGTTCCCTCTTTTATTTGCTTTGCGTTTTGGAATTGAAGAAATTGAATTTTATAATTTTATATTTATCCAAATTTACTTTAAAAACGATTGTCGTTGGATTGAATTGGAGAAAGTTTGATATAAAGGATGGCAAATTGTAATTTTTTATTTACTGGCGTCACGACAATTTGATTCTATAAAATCTGTGCCCAACTCGATCTAATGCGGTAGATACTCAAGCCAAAACATACTTAATAAAACAAACAATCGGGAAGTTGGTTCGATGATAACAGGAAGAGAAGAAAGAAAGAAAGAAAGAAATACTTGACGCAAACCAGCAAATCATGTTTCTTTGCTTAAATTATCATGGCAATACCCATTAAATTTTATTGTTTGGTCTTTCATCATCTTGATAACAGATATTAAATTTATTTAATTAATTTTTTATCAGGTCCAATCTTTCTTTTAACATCTTCATGCCGTAACATTACGCTCGCATATAATTTTGTAACAATTGCATAATCTTACTGGTCCGCATAAAATTATAGCAGATAGTAACCAAATTCGGAAATAAAAGCTTTATACAAAGGAGAATGAAATTTAAAAAATAAGGAGGATCTTAACAAAGCAACCATTTTGGCGTAAATATAGAATATATAAACATGGATAAATCTTGTCGGTGATATATTAAAAGAAAAAGGCAAGGATTTTGTGGAGCTTCTTAATAAACCGATTTTAAGGCATCGAAGATGCTGGTCAAGCGGATTTAGGGAAAGGAGGGGTTATATCAGAGAATGTGTAAACCAATCTTATGTCTGCATCTGAACACGTTAATAACGATTGACAGAACTGGATTACGAAATAAATGAACAACAATATTATTCCCAAATGAGCAAAATCAAAGAGGAAGAACTATTTCGCTACAAATATAAAAAAAAGGTTTATCAGCAACAGGAAAATTAAATAGAGTTGCAATTAAGTAATAATTAACAAGAAAAATGCTTTTTTGATTCAAATAAAGAAATTATGAACACATGATGATATACAATTTCCTATAATAATAAAACCCGATTAACATTCATTTATTAATAGTTGTTGTGTATTTATTTATTTCACAAATGAGCTGACGAAATCATTACACATGCGAATTCTCTAAACAATTTTTTCTATTTCCATTTTTGTTTGAATCATACTATTGACAGGTAATTAATTAATTAATTGCGTTGAATATATTAATATTAATATTAAAATTAAATCCCTTTTTTTTCTTTTCTTTTTTTATAACGTATTACTAATATTAATCTGATAGTATACTAATACTAATAATATAGTAAGTATAGCAAGGGGATAATATACTAATACTAATTAGCAAGTAAACAGGTAAATTTTTGTCGTTTGTTAATTTTTAATAAAAAAAAATTTGTAATACAAATAATAAAGTAAATAAATAATAATAATGATAAGCAAAACATATAAAATAAACATGAATTCACTATTTCTATCGTTTTTATTTTTCCTCCTTTATTTATTTCATAATAAAAAAAATGCCAAAAAAAAGATTTAATAATGCAAATTACAATAGTATCGACGATGATAGCAATAGTGATTCATTTAAAAGGCTATTTTTTATACTTGTATCATTATTAATAATATTATTATTTTTCATATTCACTTTCCCGAACTTTGATGATAATACCAAAGGCCCCTTAAAGCCTTCAGACTTTCTACCATCTAAAACACGCAATTTAACTCTAATGTCGACATTATCTTCGGAAATCAGATTAGAAAAAAATTTAATATTTATAGGGGATGTTCATGGTTCATTAGACGAGTTGAAATCATTAATTAAAGTCTTGAATTATAATCCTAATTCGGATCATTTGATATTTGTTGGTGATTTAATAATTAAAGGACCAAAGTCAATTGAGGTGTTGAGGTATCTCCAACCGATGGGTGTTAGTGTTGTTAGAGGAAATCATGAAGATAAAGTGTTAAGATGGAAACAATTTTTAGATGATTTGAAGATTGAGGAAGAAGACGAAGAAGTTGTGGATAAAAGATTAAAAGAATATTTTCAAGAAAAAAATTTACCAATTGACGAAGAAATTATATTTAAATCAGAACACAAATTAGTAGCAACGTAAAGAGAATTTTAAAAAAATTATTCCAAGGTTTATTTTAAAATTTAATTAACATATGTATATATATATATTTTCATTGTTGATAGGAAACTTGATAGGAAATTACATGATTATATATTATCTTTTCCAATTATTTATGATATTCCTAATCTTGATGTTTACGTTGTACATGGAGGTTTGTTACCAGAAAAATCTTTATGGGATCAAAATCCATTCGATATAATGAACATGGTAAGAAATCTATTCATTCATTAAATCATTATCTTTTTTAAATTTTTAAATAAATATATTATTAACATGTTCAAAAACAAAAAACAAAAAACGAAAAAATAGAGAAATATAAAAGATGACGGCAAACCAACCAAATCCAAAAAGGAAGGAGTTCCGTGGTCAGGAATTTGGAACAAGGTACAAAAAGAATCTATAAATCCTAAATATATAATTTATGGGCATGTCGCGTCAAGAGGTTTAGATATTAAAAAGTATAGCTTCGGATTGGATTCAGGATGTGTCAAGGGTAGAATGCTGACAGCTTTGAAGTGGAATAAGAATGGTGAGAAAGAGTGGTATAATGTAGAATGTAATAAATATATTGATTAAATAATTAATATATATGTGTATATATACTTATTATTGCATTTTTAATAATATTATTTTCATTATTATTGTATCGTTATTGTAATTCATTATTATTGTTATTGTTATTATTATTATTGTTGTTATTATTGTTACTAAACAGTAATAATAGTATTATCATTGTTTTGATCATTCTTTTTGTTATTACACTCATTCCATGATCTTTAGAAAAAAAATTTTATGGAATGAATGAATCAATATAATCAATAAGAATCAATATAATCAATTAATCAATTATTAATATAATAAAAATTACTTACAAATAAATCATCATAATTTGAGTAATGAATGAATTCATTGGTAAGAGAATATTCCATATTGAATAATATAATATATCTAATCCATGTACAAATATTAATTCTCCCTTATATAATAGAGAAAAAAATATCAATGCAATAAATTTGGGTATTAAACCAACAATTAGGTTTAACATAAGAATATTCAACTAGGAGAAAAACATTAAATGTGTGTTTGTTAGTTAGCGTCAGTATACACATATTAATTAACATATTACACCACCACCTCACTTAACCTACCACCCTATAATAATAATACTTACAACTTTTCTAGTAGTTTTTAGTCTCTCAATACTAGGAATATTTTTAGTGGAATCATTTTTATATATACAATTAATATAGCCACTAAGCAAAGAATAAATCTTGGACCAGATGTAAGCGGTTATAAAGATAAACGTAAATCCACGTACAACGTAAATCAGATAGTGAATAGTGAAGAATAACTCGGCCAATTGTATGTTGTTGATGTCAGCTTCATGACCAGCAAAAGCTGCTATTGGCAATTGTATTGCTATTGGCAAGACCATCAACAATATACCAATAGTATCAAGAATCTTAATATCCATTGATTTTTTAGCATAACTGATGTCATTGCCTTCCTTACGAGTTAACTTAAAGTTGTATTGAAATCCACTTGGTGTAGAATATACTTTTTGATTTTATGAGTGAATAAATGAATTAATGAATATATTGCAAATTTAACGAGTGTAATTATTATAAATATTATTATTATTAACCATTACCTAAACTTATGAGATAAAGTATTCCGAGTGAGCTTAGCATTTCATCCGATAAATGATGTACAACTATAATAAAACGGTTTATAATTAGCATGTCTTAATATTAACATCAACTCAATATTTAGTAATAATTACGTTACCTTCTGCCCACAAAACGCTGGGATATAATTCCAGTATTAAACAAGTAATGTTAATTGATATAACTATACGTTAATTGATTGATTAATTGATTGTTTGATTGTTAAATTAAAGCTTTCATCTTTTAGAAAAAATTTTTTTTAATAAACTTACATAAATGATAAAATATTATTAATAAATGATAAGTATGAATTGATCTTGGTCTTAATAGACCCCTGTCTCTTGTCGAAGACAAGAAAAATGATTGCTTCTTGAATTTAATAAGATGAAACAACATTATGGCTGAAATAGTCGTTATTAGAACACAAAATGGTAAATTTATCAAATTAATCGTTATCCAAAATTTTTCTTGTTGACATTCATAAATATTTACACGGAAATCACACCAACACGTTTCCACAGTATCGGTTTTTTTACAAGCTAGCGTATAATCGTTTATGATTCTAACCATTCTCCAAAGTCTTTTTTTTTATTTGAAAATTTTGGATATTGCGTTATTACTATATTTTGAGTTATTTAAATTTTCCGTCTCTTTTTATATTATATACAAGTGTTATCTGTCCTTCATTAATAAGAAAGACCATTCCTAGTAAATTAAATTAAAATAAAAATATATTAATTAGGTCATGTGGTAAATTTTTACCCCACTGTTAAAGACTTTGCAAAGACCAATTAAAATAAAAAAAAGATAAAAAAGATCAAAAAAATTTATTGTGTATTTTATTTTTTCATAATAATTTAAAACGTATTAATATTAAGACAAATATTAATATTAGTATGGCAGAAAAACTAACTAACGCAAATTAAAATAATGCTGTACAATCGGGTTTTTATTAATGCATAATTTAATAATGACAAAAACTTAAATGTCTTTTTAATCTTATTTATTAACATTTCCATGTTTTATCATCACTTTTTCCGGAAATTTATAATAGTAATTAGTAACATTAATTCAAGTAGTGGTTATATCCGTCGGATATCCGACGAATAATACTAAGATAAAGTTACAACGACGAATTTTAAAAACTGACTATTTGTCTACTATTGAAAAAAACAAATAGACGTGTTTATTTGACTGTAGAACAACTTTTACTTTGCATGCAAGGTATATTTATTTATGTAGCGTAAAAAAAAAACAAAAAAACAATTATGTTATGAGGAGCAACTTTTTACTTGGTGTACAATTTTGGTCAGCACTAGTTTTACTGTCTACAGTAGAACAATATGCGAGGCTCGTTTTATATGAAGTTCACAGCTCATGTCATAACTTCAACCCCTTTATAGGCCAAGGCAAAAAATTTTTTTTACCCGTATATCAAATTTATTTGACGATTGAACAGTCAGTCGGTTATAGTTACCAAATTTTTGTGAACGGATAATAATAGTCGGGTATCCGACGGATATATACACTACTCCCAAGTATTCACCAACAGTGGCAAATATGACTTTTTAATTAAATCATTATTCAAACAAATATGGAATTTTGTTGGACCAGAAAGGCTTTACTATAGATTTCAAGAGAGTTGGCAACATTTGATCCGCTAGTATTTTCAGATGACAAATAACCAAGCGATTCACAACTGATTTCTTGTCGACAACATCCAAATTAAATGGTGATCTCTTGGATTTTGGTTTACAGTTAATTAGTCGTTAAAGTAGTCTTTCTTTTTATTCTTCTACAATTTGTGTCTAGGTTTTGCTAAGTCCAGGTACGACCAGACATGTAATTACTGCTAAAGAGCTTGTTTTATTGATCGACATAAACGCGTGTAACTATAACTTATCGTTACACAATTTTAATGTGTGACCTTTATAAAAATGTTTTTTTTTAACTTTAAAAAAAACCCAAAAATTTTTAACTGCATTTCCATCTTTACTCTTTTTCTTTTCGCCAAAGAAAAAGTTTTTATTACTTTGTTTTTATTTTATTGAAGAAAAGAAAGATGGGAAATGTAAGTTATTAAAGGTGTCTTGGATTTTTGTTACTCTTGAATGTTTGATCTCGAATTTCTGGAATAAATATCTTTTTTTTTTTATCTGTTAAACATAATTCTTATATAATAAATTTAAAAATAATATTTTTCAATTGATTATTAACTACAGGGCCAAAAAGCTCAACATAAAAGAGAAAGAAATCAAAAAACAAACGGAGCAAAAAATACAAGCAGTCAATTGAAGGCTGTAAGTTTTAAATATTTATTAATACTTTATTAAATATCGAATATATTGATTGATTTATTTATTGATTGATTGAATTAATTTAGAACGAAGCTGCAAGAACTGTAATTTGTCAAGTTTGTCGTAATACTTTTTTATGTACTATAAGAGCTAAAGCGTTAGTATTTAACCCAAAAAATTTACAATTATTATAGTTTTATATGGTTTAATAATTCAATTATATTCTAGATTATCCGAACATGCAGACAATAAACATAGTAAAACGTTAGAAGATTGCTTTCCTGGATTTGTTGAAATTCCAAAAAAATAATTTTATGGATGTTGTCACATGACACAAGATTATCACTTAATAATAATAATAAAATTTCTTTAATAATTAATAAATATAATAAACGATATAAATATAATAAAAATCATCTTTTATTATTATTGTCATTGTTAAATTATGGGTCATTTAATAACTGTTGCAACTTGTTCTTTAAATCAATGGGCGTTAGATTTTGAGGGTAATTTAGAACGTATACTTGAGAGTATCAGAATTGCAAAAGAACACGGTGCTAGATTACGTGTTGGACCTGAACTTGAAATAACGTAACAAATTTTTGCTAATAAATTTTTTAAATAATTAATAAAAATGTTTGTTATATAATTTGTCTGATTTTATCTAAAAAAGTGGATATGGTTGTTATGATCACTTTCTCGAAGGTATTATTATTCATGACAAAGCTGTAAATTTAAAGATTGATAATTAATTAATTAACATTAATATTATCAACTATCATCATTAATATTGTTAGGAGATACATACTTACATTCATGGGAAATTTTGGCAAACATTTTAGTTCATGAATACTCACAAAATATATTACTTGATATTGGAATGTAAGTTTTTAATATCATTTCAACATTATTGTTTATTATAATTATTTTTATTATTAAATAAACAAATAAACATTATATACATTTACAGGCCAATAGTTCATAAAAACGTCAATTACAATTGTCGTGTGATAATTCTTGATGGAAAAATATTATTGATTAGGCCAAAATTATACTTAGCTAACGATGGTAATTATCGCGAGATGCGTTATTTTGCTGCTTGGTCACCAGTTGGACATGTCGAAAATCATTATTTACCCAGAATTATTAGAAAAATTACTGGACAAGTAAATATAATTAATTAATGATTTTAAACATTAATTATATAAAAAAGTCTAAAAGGTAATCAATATATTTTAAATGGATTTTAAGGAAACAGTTCCAATTGGTGATGCTGTAATTTCTACTATAGATACTTGTGTTGGAATAGAATTATGTGAAGAGTTATTTACTCCTAATAGGTAATGATATTTATAAATGCATGTGTCTATATGTAATATAATATCGATTATTGTCTTTTATTAATTATATTTAATTAGTCCACATATTAATATGGGGTTAGATGGCGTAGAAATATTTACAAACAGTAGTGGTAGTCATCATGAATTGCGCAAATTATATACAAGGATTGATTTAATTAAAGAAGCAACTTTAAAGGTATATTTCTACATAGTTAATAGTTGGTTTACACTCAAATACATACATAATATTGATTCTAATTGCACATATACATTTTGATGATATTAAAAAAAAGAATGGTGGAATATATTTATATGCTAATCAACAAGGTTGTGATGGTGATCGTTTATATTATGATGGATGTGCTTTAATAGCTGTAAATGGTAAAATAGTTGCTCAAGGGTCTCAATTTTCACTTAAAGATGTGGAAGTCTTGACAGCAACAATTGATGTTGAAGATGTTAGATCTCATCGTGGATCAAACATTAGTAGAAGTTGTCAAGCAGTCAACACAATTACTTATACTCGTATAGAAGCTCCAATAGAATTATCTGAACCGGAATTAAATATTAAATCAAAAATCAAACCAACAAAGCCGATCAAAGAATTTTATCATACAGCTGAGCAAGAAATTGCGTGGGTTTAAAAAAAAATTATTTTGAAGAAAAAAATAACAAGTAATAATGACTTATTGTGTGATTGTTATTCAAATAGGTTAGGTCCAGCTTGTTGGCTTTGGGATTATTTACGTAGATCAAAAACAAATGGTTATTTTCTGCCTCTTAGTGGTGGAATTGATAGTTGTGCTACAGCAATTATTGTTTATTCAATGTGTCGGCTTGTCGTTGAGGCTGCTTCGAATGGAGGTATGTATTGTTATATATGTTATATGTATTGAATGTATCCATAAATTTTTATTTATTGATAAATTAATAATATCTTTATAGATAAAAAGGTTATCAGTGATGTCAGAAGAATTGTTGGTGAAGAATTGGATTCTAATTATATTCCAACTGATCCAAGAGAATTATCAAAGTAAAACAAAGGAATTTAAAATTTATATAATAATAATAATAATGATTACCATCATTTATATATATAATGAATAATATAGTCGAATATTTCATACAAGTTATATGGGTACCGAGAATTCAAGTGAAGAGACAAGAAAACGCGCTAAAAATTTAGCAGATTCTATAGGCAGGTAAATCAAAAACCATCTTTTAAATTTTTAATTTATTAAAACAAAATTTTTTATTTGCTTATTATTTATTTTTATCATTAATAGTTATCATTTAAACTTCAATATTGATACAATTATAACTTGTATATTAACGTTATTTACAATGGTAACTAATAAAACACCAAAGTTTCGTGTATATGGTGGAAGCAATGTTGAAAATCTTGCTTTGCAAAATATTCAAGTAATTTAAAAAATTTTTTCTTGTATCTATTCAAAAAATTTCATTTTGGTGTCATTTTAAAAATATATATAAATGTAAATTAAGGCAAGATTAAGAATGGTATTATCATATTTATTTGCACAATTATTACCATGGGTAAGAAACCTTACTGGCTCTTTGTTGGTGCTTGGTTGTTCCAATGTTGACGAATGGTAATTATCATTGTTATTACTATCATATTTATCATATCCATTATCGTTGTTTTATTTTTTTTTGTAGTTATCATTAAATCCTATATTAATTACTACATAATCATAATCATTATTATTAAATCTAGCTTAAGAGGTTACCTAACAAAATATGATTGTTCGAGTGCTGACATTAATCCAATTGGGGCAATAAGTAAAATTGATTTAAGAAAATTTATAGAATATGCAAGAAATGAATTTGGGCTTTCTATATTGGACGAGTTGAGTAGTAATCATGAACCATATTTGATTATGATATTTAAGTCAGTGAAAATTTTTACTGAATATAAAATTATTATTTTACATATTATTTTATAAGATTTCTTAATGCCACACCAACAGCAGAACTTGAACCAATAACTAAGGATTATGTACAATCCGATGAAGTAAATATGGTTTATATAATGACAATGAAGATTTATTTTTTTTAAAGGATAACCAAATTGATGTCGTAATATAGGCCGATATGGGAATGTCATATGCAGAATTATCTGTCTTTGGTAGATTACGTAAATTAAATCGATGTGGTCCTTTCTCAATGTTTACAAAATTAGTTCATGAATGGAGCTCAGAATTATCACCAACAGAAGTAAAAAAAATTTTTTTTAAAAGTCATCTTTAAAAATCTTTTCATTAATCAATCAATCAATTCAATTATTTCTTTTCATAATTATATAATAGATATCAAGAAAAGTGAAAAAATTTTATTATTATTATTCGTTAAATCGACATAAAATGACTACGATAACACCTTCTTATCATGCAGAATCTTATAGTGTTGATGATAATAGATTTGATCTGAGACCTTTTCTTTATGATACAGGATGGTCTTGGCAATTTAAAAAAATTGATGATTTTGTTAAAGAATTGGAAGAAAAAAATTAGCAAAAATATATTATTATAATTTTGCTATTTGTCGTTTACTCTTATTCTTTATAAATAATAAACAAGACTAAGTTTTATTATCGAGGCAATTCAACTAAAATTTTAATTACACGGTTTGTATGTATATGCGAGTTTTTATAAAAACTTCTTATTCGTTATTGTTATTATTATTAGTATAACGATAACGATTGAATGATTGATAAATATACTTGATGAATGTTTTATCAATTATTCAATAATTGTACTATGAGCAGGTTGATGCCTATTTGATGTAAAAATGAAAATAATATTTTTCAAAATTCAAAAAAAAACGCGCTCTATCTCATTAAATATTTGATCGAATTGAGTGATCTTAGAATTCAAAAGAAAGCTGAATTATATTCAACATTGAAATTTTTAATAATAATATTTTCTCTTTTGTTGCTTGCTTATATTATCTAATTATTCTAATCATTATTATTTATGTAGGAATAAAAAACTTATTTTTTACTATGCAAATATTTATAATAACGTAATTATTTGAACATTTATTTCTACCTTTACTTGCAATTCAGATTATTTTCGGCTTTATTAACAACCTGTCCCGAAAAAAATTTTGAAAGAGACAACTTCTCAATTTTGGTGGTGATTAGAAGTCATTCAATTGTAATTATTATTAACGCGTTCTTTTAGTTTTTTTTTAATTTATTCATACATTATTGGAATATACAATTTTAATCGAATGTTTGTTTGCAATTAAAAAAGTTGATAGATAGATATTTCTTTAAACTAATAATAATTCCCTAGCCCATTCATTACCTTTTTGTGTTGCTTTTCAGGATTTTGTAAAGCAGTCCTACTAGAGTAATTTCACGGTGTAAGTTCATTTATAAGTACTACAACCTGACTTTGTGGTTACCTATTCATATTTGTTTTCATCATATCTTGCGTTAATCAATACAAATAATAAAAAATATTTAGCCTTGATCTTTGTCAAATATTATTAAATATGTATATAGGCATTAAGGTGGAGAACCAAACAAATGATTAGAAGACATCTCGGCATTCCTTGGATTTCATAATGAGATTCTTGGCAAAATTCTTTCTTCTAAACTTCTAATACTTGAAAGATGCTATTACGGTGGTGCAAGTTTTACATCAAATTAATTTCCGGATGCTATACTAATACCAATAATTTCTCTAATCAATAATTAATCGTTCGTTGGCTAGTTGGCCATCAGTCTGATCATAATTTTGATATGTAGATCATTACGTGGGTTATATCTCTTTTGCGAATAGAAGAAAAAACAATGCTTAGATTGCCATTTACAAAATTATTACATCATCCTAAAAGAGATTTGTTGATACTTGTATTTGGAGGAAATTTTCAAGCTATAGATACAAGGTTGAATAATAATTTTTTGTTTTATAATTATCAATAAATAAATTTACCAATTATTTCTACATGTATATATAGTACAGGAGTGATAATATCTACTACACATCCATTATTCTCTAACAATGAGATGCGACCTAAATTCATAATACCTAATACTGATGCACATGAAACTTTAATTAGAGCAATTGAATTTTATCAAAAATCAGCAGATGATGATGATGCTAATGATGAATCTTTAATGGCTTCAAGCGGTGAAGATAAATTATTGAAAGTTTGGAGTATTGACAATTGGAGGTTGATAAATTCGAGGCATGTTATTTAGACAAATATTTTTAGATTATAAATAATTGAATGAAAGATCTAATTGAATTGAATTGAAATATGATATGATCTTATGTTATATAGACCCGTGCCTAAACGTGTGGTCTCAATTGCATTCAATTCCCAAGGATCACAAATCATTACGGCAGACAAATTTGGAGACGTTTACAGGTAGTTAAAAAATAAATTAGATAAGTTATTATTGTTAGAAGGAAAATTATAATTAATTGATTGATTTTTTTCTTTTGCAAGATATCCAATAAACGCATCAAATGACAATCAGAATGCTGTAGATTTATTGTTAGGTCATGTCTCAATGGTCACTGATATGGTAAAAATATATACTTGTAATATTAATAGATTATTTGTGTTTGAGTGAAAGAGAAGAACTTGATAAATTTTTTTTTATTTTTATTTAGATTTTAACACCTAATAATAAATTTATTATAACGGCTGACCGTGATGAACACATAAGAGTCAGTAGATTTCCAAAAGGTCATAATATAGAATCATACTGTTTAGGCCATACACAGTAAGCATATACAATTAAGAAATTGTAATGATGTACTTAATTAGTTGTTTCAAATCAATTAAAGGTATTTTTGTTTGTTTTTTTTTTTTGCAGATTTTTATCAAAATTGCATATATTACCTTGGTCAACTGATTTTTTGTTGTCAGCAGGTGGTGATGATTATATTTTGTTATGGGAATATGTTTCAGGAAAATTGTTACAATCTTTAAACATTAAAAGTATTATTGAAAATCAAGTAATAATTACTATTTTTGTTGTTATTGTTGTTTTTATTATTTTTTGTTGCTGTTTACAATGTATTATTAATTATTTTTTGGTGATTCTTAATTATTGATATTTTTTAATATTTATAGATTAAAGAACAAAACGAAAAAAAATTATTAACTTCAGAGTACAATAATAATGAATTTTCTGTGACCACAATCACAAGCAGTTCAATTTCAAAACACATCGCTTTGGTTATAGAAAAATTTCCTGGAGTAGTAATCTTGAATTGGAATGAGACTAATCAATCTATTGAATTTAAAACAATTTTATATTCAAGTATTGATCCACTTGATATTGCGTACGATCTTCGAGGAAACTTGTGGGTTTCGAATTCATTATTAAGTGATGACGACGATAAAGATGATAAAGAATTAATAACTTTATTTATAAGAAATGAGGATAATGATCGGTATGAAAAAAGTTCTAGTGACCATCCTTTATTAATTCAAATTAACAAGTATGGGTCTGTTCAAGGTAAATAGATTAATCATTAATGGAGACAACAATAAGAATAACATTATAATTATTCATTAATTAAAAATATATTGTAAATAGTTGATAAAATTCCAGATTTGTATCCAATTGGCCAACTTCGTAAAAATCCTGTTGATTGGAAAGAACAAAAAAGTAAAGGAAAAGGCAAAGAAGAAGAAAACGATGAAGTTGAAAGCAATGAAGAATCACAAAATAATGATAATGCTGTTAATAAATCATCAATATCAAAAACTCAAGAAAAAAAGCCAAAAAGAAATGTTGAGAAAAAGAAAATCAAACTGAAATAATAAATATGATTTTTTTAATAGTTGTTTATTAACTCATTATTAATAAATTAAAAAAGTTTTCTGTTCCAACATTTGTTGTTTCATTGATCCTCTGGAACTTCAAAGAGTTCTAATATTATCAATATAAAAAAATAAATAAAAATCATTTATTAGAGTTGGTTTATTCACAAAAAAAAAAATTTTTTTAGAGAAAAAATTTTTTTTCTTTCTCTCAGAAAATATTATGGTGCAATTATCTTTCAACATTGGGTTTCAGACGGTAATTCCAGCTATTGATAAATGCTTTGTTTCATCATCGAGTAGAAATTTTGTTAATAAAGAAAGTAAAAACTTACTTTTTGTCGTTTTTTAAAAAGAACTAAGGTTTAGAAATTTTATAGATGATGTCGATCACGGCAAATAAAATTCGACTTTTTAATACGCCACTTCTATTTGAGGCAGTTACGTTTAATAGCAATTTGATGTATTATATGGAGTAATAAAGATAAAGTAATAAAATTTGGCAATATTAATATTAATATATCCAGTTATGCGAAAGCATAATCCTGGACATATTCTATGATTGGCCAATGGGCCAGATCAAAACTTTTTTTTAAAAAATTTTAATAATAATAATTGAAATAGGTGTTCACGTACAGGGAAAGGACTAAACAATAATTTTGTTTTTTATTGTAACCAGGATATTATTATACTTAAAATATGCAATAAAAGAATTACCAGATCAATTGCATGGAATCCATGTCTATCTAGTAAAATTTGTTTTAGAAGTGTGTTCAGTTAATTAATACTAAATACATTATGAACTTCTTGAATATCTGCAACATTTGCTCTTGTTACTGATACAAGATATACACAACCCAATGAAGGTACATTTCTGAACGCATAATGCCTTTGTAGATCATCAACGATATTAAAACATTTTTGAAGAACATGAAGACCATCAACACAAAAAAGAGATTCAGATAGAGTAGGTACAACTTCTGGAGTAGTGAAACGTGAAGATAAAAACTGCCGAATGAATGTTGGATAATTAGCACAAATTCCTGTTGAAAAATTAGTAATTATAGTATTTTTTGTGATCCCTCGTTGCAACAAACCACACTCATTCCATTCTACAACCATTACCAAAGGATCAAGATCATTATCTTCACGTTTTGCTTGGACCATTGAGTAATTTCGTTGTTCGTTTTCTCACTAAAAGCGGAATACATTATTCTTTTTGGTCTATTGTGTTAGATATTTATGAATAAAATTCTTTTGACTTTTCTAATAAATAGAAATCATAGAAAACAACAATCACACCTGAAGGTCAACCAAGAGGAAGTTTCATATAAAGCCAAGAGAAGAAAAATGATGCAAATAATAGAAATAATGATGGATGAAAAAATAATTAAAAGGGACGAAAAAATAACAATAAGCAAAAAGAAAACAGTTATAACGAAATCAGCTGTTGTTTCTTTCATCTTTACTTTTTTTTTGGTTAAGAAATATATCATATATGGCTAATGACTAATGTTTCAATATTATAAGCTTTCCATAATTCAGTAACGTCATTGATCAAAATAATAGGATTGTCAATTTATTATTATATTTTAATATTAAAACCAATTCTCAAAACATGAAGTTCAACCTTTTAACAGGGGTGTCTTGGTAGTTGGGTGGTTATGTGTAATCCCAATTTTAATTAGTATATTGGTCATGGTTTACTGGTAAGAGGTTTAGGATCGATGTCTCAAATGGTAAGGTTAATCCTCCTTGGATTGGCTGCAAAAATATTTTCGTTTTCCAAAAATTGATAAATGGTTGTGGTTATTTTTACATCATCATATCATGTGAATTCCCATTTATATCTATTTGGCAACCAAAAAATTGTCTATTTTTATTCAAAACGTCAAGGTCGAGCGAAGCAGATACTTGACTGAAGGGAAATCGTGTTTCGCTTTAGATGTGTCTATCATTTGGTCTTTGTCTTGCTCTGACGTTTCGGACCGTTTGAAATGACCAAAAACTTATGGCCTCGCCTTGGAGCATTTATATCATTTCAAGCCAATGTAGCAAAAAAAAGGAAAAAAACCAACTTATAACAAAGTTTTACCTTTTGATTTTGATCTCACTCTTCCCTAACAATTCGGTTTACTAAAGTTTAACAACAAAATGTTTAGAAAATTTGTGATTCGTTACCGTAACCGCCCCGGATTTACCGTCTCAAGTCTTTAACGAGTCTTCCTTATAACAGAATGTTCCCGTGCATTCAAATTTGGGTAAAAAAAAAGAATATTATAAAAATCTACACAAAAATTACGACATTTAGAAAGGAACTGTACGTAACACGGCAACCTTTCCAAGTCGAATTTTATATATTATATTTTTATATAATGTCATATGTTAAACTATTATCATTGTCAACACCAGAAAGAAAGAACTTTGTATATAAAATTAATGGTGAAATGCGTAATAATGCTAGTGTTAATTCTGATAAAGAAAGTAAAAAAGATTATTTTTTTTCATTAGTCAACAAAAACAAGGAGCTTTCTGAAAATGAAAAAGAATATTGCAAAGAAAAGTATATTTATGAGTTTGAATTAAAAAATGCAAGAGATAAAAAAGGCAAATCAAAAGAATGTAACAAGTGTAAATTGACAAGATACTCTGA